CCTATAACAATATTCTTGCGAACTTAAATTCGGACTTAATATCTGCCGATATGATGAATGGTAGATATACCCTTCCAGTTTAAATCGCAGTCCATACACACTAATCTCCTCGGATAACACGTTAGAAGAAAAACAACTAAATAGTTGCGGTCATCGACATAAATAATATTCTTGACTGGATTTTTCGCGATTATTTTATTATATGCAAAAAGAAAGAGAAAGAATATTAATCAGCTTTTTTCTGGAAAAATAAAGACACGACTGCAATATGTAAACTCGCTCAGTGTTTATAGAGAAATTTAACGAGAAAATTATATTATTAGTCAATGTGGGAAAATGTGATCTTTTTATGCACGATTTACAACATTAATAACAATTTATAGCAATTTATAAAATAATGCAGATGCCCTCATATACATACACATGCATATATCCACGGTTGTGGAGAGTAAATTTTAATTTGAGAAAATTTTAAAAACTTTGTACGTACAATCGTTTTCCTGAAATATGAGAAAATCACACAACGCCTTGCGGTAAGTATAAAGCGTTTAGGTCAAGTAAAGAAAATCGTTAAAGTTTTTGCTAATTATGAACGTATCAGTAGGCCGATCTGAATCTTAGATCGATATATACTACCTCTTGTGAGTTATGGATTTTGATAATTTCAAAATTTTTGTTTATATATCCTACACCACTTGTAGTACAAGGGTATATTAAGTTTGTGCGGATGTGCGCAACAAGCAGAACGAGTTAAGATAGACCCACCGTTCATTCGGAATCACTTCTTGAGTCGATTTTAGCTTGTCTGTCCCTCTGTCTTTCTTATTTTCTTAAGTTGAGGTCACATTTTTTGAGATTTTTTAATGAAATTTAATACACTCACGTGTTTTGGCCCAAGGACGAATGTTACGGAAAATGTTCGGCATCGGATTACTTCTTCAATCACTCCCCATACAATGTCTTCTTTAGAAAAATCGTTATATGAATAATTGTAGAGCTGTATAGGGTATTTAACGGTCGGCAGCGGTTCACTATAGTGCTTTTACTTGTTTATACTGTAAGATTTATTCTAAACTATATACGCCAAGCTTCACTTATATATGTTTTAGTTTTTGCGCCGTAAGGATTTCGACCAAAGGCGGCTGGGGGACGGATATACAATACGGTCGGAACCGGCTCAGATTCTTTTAATAATGCAAATCTAAGATTTTCCTTATTTTTTACTGTTATGGGGGAAACGACAGAATCGTTCCACCATTTTCTTCGAATGACGCGCACAGTTACAATAAATCACGCGCATAGTTACACTCTCAGTAGTAGGTGGCTGTATATGCTTTCCGTGTGTACATGTTTTGTTTTTTTTTTTGATTGTAATTTCAACAAAATTTTATTATTTCCATAGAAGTTAAATAAAATAGTTTGAACTTTTTATTGATGATTTTATTAGAAAAAAAAACACCTTTAAACAAAGTGGGAAAAAAAATTTTGCATTTTGGTAAAACAAATATTTATTATTGCCAAAGCATATAAACAAAATCACAATCACAACCATCGGCGCTTATATACGAATTTTATACACAAATTGTAATTAACTGAACATTGTGTGAAGCTTTTCGAATGAAACGAAACTCAACTGGCAAGCAAGCAAGCAAGCAAGCGAGCAAGCAAGCAATTCATTTACAAAGCAAATCAACTGAAAAGTGCAAAACGAATTTGTCAAATAGCCAATAAAGTGCTAATTCGAAATTTTTATTTGATCGCATTGCCTTGCAATGCAAAACGATATAATTTAATTTAAATAAATAATAAATTCATTTAAATAAATCTCTCACAGAACGCAGAGCACAGAGCAAACATTAAATGAGACAATTGACGTCGAGTAAGAACATAAAAGCAACGATTATACAAATTAATTTAATGGTCAATAATTTCCAAACGAACAGAAGAATTTCTTCAATAAATATTTTAATGGAAAAATGAAGAATGTCACGATATCACGAAAACTACAAAAAATGGGGGATCACTTGAAAGACCAGTCTTAAGAGCGTATGGAAAAAAAAAAGATTAATGGAAACATAAAGGACCGCATTAATTACGAAGCGTACCTTAAATAACCACTGCTACTTCTCATTTCTGCAGCATCTTCTTTCTAAAAGAATTTTTTCTGATCTATAAAATGTAAGAAAGGAAGCAAAAAAAAGAGCGAAGCGAAAGCATTCACAGAACAAATGTAAGAGAAAAGCTTCATGTAATTGAACAGAAGTTAGTCGTAGATATAACTTTATAACGTCAGCAAGGCTTACTTTATCTATCGCTGTATCTTGATTTTCGATTTTATGCTCTCTCTCCTTCATCACATAACGAGTGAATTAAAAAGCGTAAGATTGCAGACTGGGTAAGAGGCTTTTCCTGCAATTATCAGTGGCCGGCCATTTGTTATCGTCGTAAGCTAAAAGCATCAATTCGCCATAAAAATGAGATAAATGTAGATGCCTTTGCGTAAGTGCTTTCGAAAACATCATCCCCCCACTTCTGAGACTCTTTTCGAGAAAGCTACGTCTCTTTTTTCAACAAAAACGATGAGCATCTGTCTGTGCATCAGTCCTATGTAAACCATTTATGTGCTCCGAAATTTTCGCCGCAAGCTTTCGAACCGCTTGCCCATCACTGCTTAAAAATACGACAATTGAAAATGTTACAACCAGAGAAAGCGGATTTTGTTGCCATATATAAAGGCTATCGGTACGGAGTATGTTAACGTCCTGCGAACCTAGACGAATTTTAACTTGCTCCCACATAAATACGAGAAATAGAAAAATCTTTGGCGAGAAAACTAAATTTAATAAATTTGCCAGTGCCACTACACGTTTTCGGTCGCCTCCCATATAATGTTCTCATCAGCTTGCGAAACGAAATCCCGAGAATTTATGAATCGTTAAATCAGCTCATGAATTTCTTAAGGGTCATATGAAAGTAATCTATAAAGGGATATCAGTTTTGAATGATCCAGCGATTGTCGCAGACATCATTATAAATAATGTTAGGCGAAAAAATGCGAGAATTTTAAACCCGAACGGCCAGGCAAAGAGACAGGTGCCGATAAGGACAGCCATTCGGATGGGTAGACATAGGAAGCAATGCTAACGAAAGGCAATAAGTACACTTTCTATCTGACAGTCAAATAGGAAAAGACAAAATTAATACTTATCGCCGTTTTGAGAGCTCGATGGCAGTCTTTAATTGCTCTTACGATTATTTATAATTTTATTACTACTGTTATTGAAATGCGTGTCAAAAACGTAGAGTAAACGTTTGGACATTGAGCTAATAATACATTGCGTGTGTGAGTGCTTTCACGCATTTATAGCTAGAGTTGGAAATGAGAACAAATTGATTGCTTTGCTTTATGAGCACTCATAGCTGGTTCGAGAAAAAAGGCCACGATCAACTTATTGATTATTTCCAACATTTTAATTTACATTGATTTCCACGATACTCATACGTCACGAGGCCGTTGAACGTATTAAGTTCGTTAAATTTCTCCAAGCGACGAGAGAGCTTTTATGAAATTGAAAATTTTCAGAAACAAAATCATGAATATTTCATCACTCTATACTAATACTTGGTTATATGGTGAAAAATGAGATTTGCTTCTGCTCAGAATACATTTGAATGCTTGTTTTCACATGTAGCTTCTTGCCCAGCGATTATGTTTGCATTCAATATTTGCTCGCATGACCTTTTGTTTATATTGTGTGTCAAAAGTTCGCACTCATTTTTTCGCATTTTTTGGCGTTTTGTGTTCTTTCTTAAAGGGCTATAAAGCTATTTAAGGGCTTTAAGGGTAAACAAACATGAAATGTTTGGAAATAAGCGAGAACAAAGAGTAAGTACATGGGGCAGAAATGATACACATGGAAATACATATAAAAATGTATCTCACGGAGTCTATATTAACTGCGTAGGCAAAAGAAGCTCCCAAAAGTTTCAAAGAAATTCCTCACCGGTCTGTAGTCGAGGTTAGCATCTCCTGCACGCTTATATGCACGCCTTATACGCAACGTTAAAACAATAAAGCAAACATTCGCAGTTAGTACGAGGTGTTCTACGCGGCATTGACTGTAAGCTGTATGTAAAGACCAATAATTTGCAAGTTAATAATTAAGAACATTATATTAAATGATATACAAATGCTTCCAAGGTTTACCGTTTTTTATACTAGGTCAAGCCCATGCTTGCATCGTACATTTTGCATATTCTTAGCAAACAACAGGAAAGCCTTTGACATTATTGTCAACAGCACTGTGCAATCTCTTGCAAATCTCTCTTTTTCTAAGTACGCACGGCCAGTCTCTCTAAACGTAAGGGAATAGATAAGTGGGAAGACAAACAGACGAAACAGAAAAAGTATCGAATTTGTGATAATTCTCGTCATAAGTCCAACAAAGTAAGCGCTAAGAATTGAGAAGCTGGTAATTTGTGCGGCCCCAGATGGCACAGTGAAGGAAATTTTCTCAAGCCGTGTCGAAGAGCATGCATCTCCTCATACTCGCGTCTCATCTCACAAGCAAGGCAAAAATTAATGAGTCCCATCCTAAGCTCATGTGACGTTAAAGTTAAGTGCGGGCCCCTTCCAAGTGAAAACAAAGCACTCAGCAAACAATAGCGTTGGACACTTTCACGAAGAGCCGTAAGGCATCTGTAGAGAGTATAACTGAATATTCAAGAGTAACTTTAGCCAGTGTAGGCACAACATTTCATGTATTCTTCTTTGCTAAGATGCGATACAATTCCAAAGTCATAAGCTGATGTCTAAAACTCGCCATAAAGTTTTTCTATGAATTTCTGATTGTAATCAAAGATTTTTTGTTTTTTGAAATTGAACTTCAAATTTATTATCTCGTAGAACCATAAAAACAATCTGACAATATATAAGCAGGTTTCTATGGAAACATGAAAAATGTGAAATCGGGAATAAATCAAATAATTTGAAGTTTTACCTTGAAATTCGCAATTCCAGATGTCACGGTGTGCGAACGCAGTATGACGAGCATTAACTTTCCAAACACATTTATGCAGTTTTCGATTTTTTTCTGTTTTGTCTTTTTTTTTTTTTTTTTTTTACATTTTCGTGCTACTCCTGGCTACTGCAACATGGTATGCATCAGAACAGATACACACAGAAACACGTTCATTTACAAAGTGTAAACATGTATGTATGTAGGTCTACACGATGATATGCAGCTGTGAATTTTGATCAGAATTCACGTGAATTATGCCAAAAAGTTAGCGAACATGAATAACGATTGCCACTGGCAGTGTACAGCGTACAACGTACAGCGTGCAACGATTTATAAGCTAATTTATCGATTTTATTGAGAAGAAGAAGTGTAAACACAACAATAATTTCGATCTAATTTTTGGTTGGTTTACTTTCGTCTTTATTTTTTTTTTCTTTCAAAATAAAACATCTTGAAAAAGAAAGGTTAGAAAGACATGCGTAGAGCAATTAAAGTGAGGTTAAGTGCTGAAAGCACTCCCAAAGGGTTTTATAAATTAATTTGCATATGATTTTCGGTTTCTTTTTCAATACACACATGTGTACGCCAGTCTTTAATATATCTATGTATATGTATATCCAAAGTCGTTTCATGCAGAATGTTTTGCTGTTATTGTTATTTTCGTTTTTGATTTCAAACAAACGCGCATACGAACAGCATTTGTGCGCCTGCGCACTCTACACATGTGGAAAATAACGTTTGCCATTGAATTGTGGGATAGACGCACGCGTTCGTTTTTACGTATATCAATATCAAAATGCAAACAAACAAATAAACGTGAACACATATATACACACACACACACACACACCAACACATCTACATTATATATATATGCATACGCATGCTTAAAGCGTTATGAAAAAAAAGAAAACTGAGATCGTTATAAAACCGAATGAATGTGTCTCTGCCTGGAATACTAATTAGAAAATAAAAATAAAAACAAAAAACTTATGAAAGTATAAAAGTACGACAACAGCAACAACAATGTATTTTCAAAACTAAATATATGACATTGTTATTGTTATTATTATTATTGTTGTTGTTGTTGTTGTTTTTTATTATTATTATTCAAATTCAACGTTTTGTAGTAGTTTTGTTTTAAGCTCGTAATGTAGTAGCAACAAGCAACAACATATATTAAAGCGGCATTAACATCATCTTAAACAACAATAGGAACAGCGACACCAACAGCAACAACTGCGCTTAAAACTCCAGAACATGGTTTGCAAAATAAACGCAATTTCATTCCATTCGATTAACGAAAGAACGCGAAAGTAGTAAAATGGAATTTTTGCATAAAACCAAAGAAATTGCATTCCATTCGTATTCTTAGAATGGAGGGTTTGCATGGAGAATTTTCTATCGAAACTGTAACGAAATTGCAAAGAATCTTTTAGATGATATATCTTAAAGTGGATGCAAGTAAGAAAGATGTTTCTACACTAGAAAGATCTCAGATACGATGCATGAAATAAATTTTCGGGATATCATCATGTTTCCGGCTTAGATTCTTAGTTTGGAATTCTTGCCGTCACCGATGGTCATAAATTGAAGTAATGATGAGTGAAAGTGAAGTAAAGTGATTTAGAAAGTAAACATGTGAGCGCATAAATACGATGTCTTTCTTTACAAGTTTTTCCTTTCAATAAGTCCGACGCGCTCCACTAGGAAATATACCTGGAAATTCTTCTCTAATGCTCTTTACCCCTTGCCCTTTATAGCAAACAAGCTATTTCGAAAAAGAAAAGGACTAAATCTAAAATTCATTTATCATTCGCGGAGTGAAAACTTTTTCGAGTAGATGGTAGTCTACTTTAATACTCACATTATATATTTGCTATAAAAACGGATGATGCGTTGGGAACATCATATCTGATATTTTCTAAAGCCATCACTGCTTTAGAATTTCATCCTAATACAATTACAAGTCTCTTAGGACTCAATGGAGTTTAGGCGAGCAAAGCAAATATGCAAACTTTGAATGAACGACGCTTTTCCACTGAGTGGATCTAAGTTCAAACTGCATTTCTTCAAAAGAATTGCTAACGTCACCCTTGCGAAGAAGACACCCACCATCAAGACGAAGAAGACACCCGCCGGAAACTCTACACTCTTCCAAAATAACATTAGCCATTTAAAATTCCATCACTTTCCTGATGTTCCAAAATTTTTCAGCTGTAATGCGCCCTTTGAGCGAATTACATATGTACGTGCATAGTTTCTTTTGAAAGACTAAAAGAAAGGTCGTATAGTACATGTATCGTACATCGTATGTAAATCAGAGGAACAAAACCTTGCGAATAAATCCGATCAGAATTACAAGTCGCGAAATCTCCAAAAACTCTTTAGAAAAAAGCCTTTCCAAATTTGATATGATTCGCGTTTCGGTGGAATGAAAAAGCACACACAAGCACAGCATATTTATAATGTCCTGACTAAACATATATTTTGGAGTGAACGAGGGCTCCGTGCAAAGCTTAGCACACACGAGAGTTGTTTAATGCATTCATTCTGCGGCTATAGGTCTTCAGCCGCAAGAATAAAAAATTATTAATAATTTTTATGACAAGTTTATACGAATACTTGTGTTCTTCTTTTTTTAACTTTATATCCAGGAGTTGAGGATGATCGACAGCTGACATGTAACGTTGCGTCTGTCAAGTGCATTTAAAATATCGTTATTTTCTTGTTATTTTTAAATAGTGTTTTTCTACGAAACGCAAACATCCAACAGCATTATTTCTCCGTTTCTTAAACCAATGCTCCTAACAATACGTGTTTATATTTAGACCATATTTTGCATACTTAACCATAAAAAAAACAAAAGACATTAACTCTCTCACTCTTGTCATTTGAAATCCTTAACGCAAGCGCCCTACGCTATACGCTTAGCTGCACAGTTGCGTATAGTTGCGTGCATGTATTAGTGTGCGTTATATCCCGATATAAATGGGTAAACAGACACTTTAAACACTGGTTAGTTGTCATTCATTTAGTTTATAGAAATAATGGCGCCTTGTTTTACTATTTGTATTGTTTTGACAACCACTTTACACTTTGTATTTTTTAAATAATGAATTCTCGCGAAATATAAGAAAATAAGAAAATATTTACGTACGGAATGTAAGTCTCGTGGAAAAATCTTTAAAAAAAAAAAAAATCTATTAAATATAAATTTCGAAGAAAGAGCTCATAAGAAAATCACGGCACACTAAACGCGATCTATTCTATATAATGTGCGTTATGCACAACTGTTCAGAGAACGAGCCGTAGCGCGATGATCAACTGTTTTCATACGTATACAGACAAAACGTACAAAATGAAAATAGCTCGACTTTCGCATACATTCCACACTACACCGTCACACTAAGAGCTTATAACAACAACAACAACAGCAACAACATGAACATCAACATCAACTATATGAACGAAGACCCAAACACTAGGCGGCCGCCTTTCGCCTTCTCCCCATAAACAACGTATTCGAAACGAATAAACAAATAAATGTAGTAACCAGCAAACAAACAAAAATTCTTTAAAAAAGAAAAATGGCAATAAATTCCAGAGAGCACAAGAAATTATAAAAAAAAATTTTGAAAAATGAAAATAAAAATAAAATTGCTAGCATAACTTCCAGCAAAAAAGTAGTGAATTGTAAAAACGCACAACCCAGCGCAACATACACATATATAAGTATTCATATGCACGGCAATAAGCCGAACAAAAACAACTGGAAATTTTATAATGTTTTCTTTAGATCATCACGCACAATAGAAATTCCTTTCTTTGAATTTCTCTCTACGATAAACTGTTTATGGATCAAACAATTCAGAAAACTATTGAAGAAAACGCAAACTCTGAGAATTTGAGAAAATTTCCCTCTAGTTTGAGTAGAATTTTTGAAAGCCTACCGCAGACATTGTGCTTTCGTATAAAAGTACAGCTACTTACAGATATACGTAAATTTAAAGGACTCCTATGCAAGGGTTGATTCTCTTTTCCCCCTAACTAACTAAACAATAGCGCGCTGGAACTGTAATCAATGAAAAACATACGTCCCCGTTAATTAATCTTTCACTTATGTTATTAGGTACCCATCTATGCGCTGCAAATAGAATAACGACATTAATAATAAAATCAATGATTAATATATAGACGAAGAGAAGTAGAAAAAGAGAGTAAGTTTCGAAAAAGAGCATTGCCTTAAGAGAGTAAATTGTAAAGCAATTCTCTTCATCTCTTTTGTTTACAATTTCTTTGTAAGTAAGCAAATCAGAAGACAACAACAACGACATTTTTGTCATTTTTGCCGTTAAGTTGTAGGATGGCCGAATTCGCGTGATTTAAGTCACGGCGGTAGTGGGCGGCAATGTAGTTCTTTATCTTTATCTCTGCTCCTATGGACACGAATTACGTTTTAAAGGTGTGAAATTTATTGCACTGCAACGCATTCCGAATAAATCATGGCTCAGGAATGCAATAAACACGGACAAGGCATGCACATACTCTGCTTACTTAGGTTGCTTCATGCAGTTGCGTAGGCCCAATATGCATACAAATAAATTAACTTTTCTTGATTTCATTGCATTCGAACAATACATCACAACTTTCTTATTATTAGAACGTGTGAGTAGGAGTTGGCGGCACTTGACTTTCTATTTCTATCCCTCTGTTTGGGTTTCATGTCCATTAAGGTAACCAGAATGTTTTGTATGAAGAGATTTCGCCCTAATTAGGACATCCCTTTAGAACTTTCAACAATATCCAGCCGTCAGGTTCTCAAAACCTTCAAATTCATGTCTAAACATTTCAATGGTGGTGTGTACGTTTGCCTCAAACCGTAGATCACAATTAATTAACAACAATTAGTTAACATATTGTGCTTAACAATATTCAAAAGCCTTTCCCATATAGCGGTTGCTACGCAATCTAAACCTTCACCTATAGTTAAAGGGGTCGGTTTTTCAATAGTTCATGATCATAGCTAGTTCACAATAGTAATTCAGAATAGAAATTATTTATTTATTTCATTATAATTGCTTGGGCTTGATGCAATATTAAGATTCGCATGAAAAATAAGCCTTTGTATGAAAAAATATCCAATTTTCAGTATTTCATGATGAAAATTGGCCCATAAGGGTATCTTGACATAAAATCCAACTTTGTGAAATTTAGACCAAGGAAATCTGTCTTTCGGACGCCACTGCAAATAGCAAAAATTTACAATTTTTAATATTTTATGATGAAAATCAATCAAGTCTATAAGTAGCTTGACGTAAAAAATAATTGTACGGAAATTGAGCCACGTAAGTCTATTTTTCAGAGAAGTGAAAATGAAACGTTTACGTCCCAAGAAAGTCCAAATTTTAATACCTTTTGACAAAAATGGGTTCGTAGTACAAAATTTCGCGTAAAAATTAATTGCACCGAATTTTTATCACCTACAAACCTCGCCACATGTAAGGTTTATCATACCACATAAGGTTTCATATGAAAATAAAGTACAATAACAATTTAATACATAGGGTTGTACCATGTAACAGAGATACTGTACATTTGTAACTTTCCTTGACACATAAAACTGATTCCAAAAAAATATTCTCACTACATTATCACAAAAGTTTTACACCACATCAAATCTCCTCTCAAAGAATAACAAAACGTTATATGTAAGATTTTAATATATTTTTATAAAAAGCGATCAATTAAAAAAAACCAAACGCGAATTAGACGAAAAACGTTTTATTTTAAAATATTAATTTTCGTAATTATGGCTGTGGCTATGGCTATTGTTCAGGGTAATCCCGCTTTAAAGGCGAGCAATCGTCGCTCCATGGACAGCATTACTGCAATACAAAGTGTCGTAATAGCGGAAAATGAATTAAAAACTTCTCTTGCTAAAATAGCAGCAAGCACGGGGGAAATGTTTTTTGGTCGTACGCTATACTTTTCTGGTCGTAAGCTATACTTTTCTATTAATGAGAAACGTTTTTTGGTCGTACGCTATACAGGTTCCTTAACGAATCAAGGCAAATAAATGAACATCTGTTAAAATTGATTCTTATTAGAGTGGCTCGCATCAATACAGCGTATACAACGGCTGGCAAGGGTACGTTGGTAAAGTACGATGTTGCACTTATCGATGAGCGCAACAGAATCAAACAGTGTATTATAACGATATGGTCTCGTCCTTGGTTGGAAAATGGGATTGAAGTTACTTTCGAATGCGATGGTGAGTAGATCATGGTCAGAAGACACAACGCCTAATTATAGACGTTGTTCGCAACATGTACATTTAATTGGCAAATATATAATACATAACGATTAAACAATGCTAGAACCATCTTAATGAGGAGCAAGGTAGCCCTAATTCCGCTTCGACCTCAGTTTATTATGCTTAATTATTTTCCGTTTAATTTTTTAATAATTTAACATGGACTTTCGTTTACATGCGTTCATATACAATGGCTTTCGTTTCATGGTGCCATTCATGCTAAACAAAAAAAAAACGGTAAAAACAAGCAAATTTGCATTTCGAAGACGCATTTAAACGGGGAAAGAGTCTCATAACTACGCTTTAATAGTTTGTAACAAATGTTTGAAGATGCTTTAGCATTTTCATTTTATTTATATTTATGTAGTTCTTGTTGCAAAGAGAAAATGAATTTGGTGTTGTGCAAACACCATCAAGCGGCAAGTAGAAGGCTTAGCACTGATGGGAACTGTACATGTTATCGATTACACCTTGTTATTTCTAGTTATGTTTGCAGATTTAAAAACCAACGTAGTTGCCCATAATTATGTAAATGTGAAGTACAAAAACCGGTTACGTGAAGTGTTCAATTTCATTGATATATATATAATATATTGATAATTTTTTTTATGAAATATTATTTATTTATTCTATACATTAACGAAGCCCTGTCCTAATGTACACTAGCTATGTTAAACTAGCTATGTTAAGCTATGTGTACTACGAACATTGAATTGAATTCGGTTTTCAATTTATTTTAGCTGAGGTTCATGTGTAAATAAATAAACAAAATAAAGCACTGCCACTAAACACAGCATACCCAGTTATTTTTGCTGCAAACACAAGTATCTGCGACAACTCACCTCGATTCACAGTCATATGAGAGTAGCGAGCCTAAAACCCATCTCAATTCACAGTCATCTGAGAGTAGTAGTTGTTGACGCGTATAGTAGAATTCAACGAAATGTAAATTATTGTATTTCATTTTTTTTAACCGACCAGGAGCGAAAATACATGAAATTTTGTTATTTCCTAAAATGGAACTTGGTTTTTAAACCCTCGCTTGTGAAATGTGAAAGAAATGCCGAAATTTGAATAAAAAACTTGCTAAGCGCATTCTGTTAATTAGCTTGCATTTTCAGCTGTTTAGCAAAAACAGCTAGAAACCAAAGCGAGAGTTAAATTTTTCATAGGTGTTTATTCCCCAGTTTACATATATATATGTGTATATCTATATCCTCTGAAACCGAGTCAAAACACTCCTACCACCAAAAAAGTATAGCGCGCAACCAAAAAAGTATAGCGTGCAACCAAAAAGTATAGCGCGCAACCAAAAAAATATAGCGCGCAACCAAAAAAATATAGCGCGCAACCAAAAACGGTTCTGAAATGAAAATCAAAAAATTTTCATCATTACTTGAGTTAATCGTGTTGTCAAAATATACAAAAGTCTCAAAACTTGGCAACACTAAGTGAAGTGATGCAACAACGTGTTTTTTTTTTTTTTTGCTGGACAAAGGGAAAAAAGTGCAAAATTTTTAACATATTACTAGTTCCTGTGTCGTTAAAAAGAAAATTAGACTAAAAATGGATAATCATATAAGATGGCTGCAAAGTGCAAACGATTCAAGAATGGAGGACGATATGAAAACTGCCGGTCATTTATTAGTAGAGTCGCAGCCTCAGCCGGAATTGTTGGCGAACGGTGGTTCGAATTCAGACTATATGGCTACCGAAGATGAATGCGACTCAACGAGTATCGATCAAATCGCCGCTGAGAATTTAATTTTCATGGCCCGCGATGGACAAATGGTTACTGAAATTATTACTACACAAGGTATAGATTCTAATGGAGCCGTAGTAGTGGCAGCTAGTGATGGTACACAAATCGATTGCGAAGCAGTTATGGCACAAGCCGGCTTACTGCAACAACATGAAGATTTGTCTGATTCAGGTGGTGGTGTATATGTTGATGGCACTAATGTACAACAATACAGAGAGAATACACCGCAAATGGTCACCGAGGAGGTAATAACGGATGATTGGGTGCAACATCAGGGCGAGGAAAGGTAATTATGCCAAATATTATATAACGTGTGCAACGCGTTGAAAATGACACTTGCCTTTATTTTATTTTTACTTTTTTTCTCTTAAAGAGTTGAAATACCTGCCGACCAAATTATTGGTTCCAACTCGCAAGTCTTATTAGACATTGAGGTGCCTTTACCCACGGTTCAAGATGAATACACCGCTTTGCGACCGTACCCGTGTGATTTTTGCAGTCGTCGTTTCCGCAAGAAGGCCAGCCTAATGAATCACATTGTGGCCCATCAAAATGATCGACCCCATCTTTGCAAGTTATGTGGATCTCGGTTTCTAAGACGACAAGACTTGATTAATCATTTAAAGGCCCACGCTGAGGAGCCTTCTGAACCACAGTTAGATGACAGTGATTGTAAGTGAAAGACTGCAAACTTCCTAAAATAAATAAAAAATTATTTTACTTTGCAGATATGCAGTTTGTTGCCGATACTGTACCAAACCAATCAAATTCCAGTGAAAATTATTACGAACAAGAATGGAATATGTCGGCTGACACAGTTAGTACTCCTACAAAATGTAGTCAACGATTACAGTCTGCTAAACAGAATATAAACACCTGTTCTCCAACCTCTTCTAAAGCTGCAGATATACAATGCAGAGGTCGCATTAGTCGTCTTAAACCAAAAGGGGAAATATCAACATTTGAAATTATAGACGTACAAAGTGCTCGCACATCGGAGGCTTCCCAACTAGCTTACGAATCTATAATGGATTCAGTTCAAAGTCATAGCCTGTCACCTTTAACGGGTGCCATTAAGGCAACCTCGGATAACGTAACTGCACAAGATTCAGATAAGCAAGTTCAACGATTTCCAATTATCGACAGTGGTAAACCATTTGTCTGTCAGCAATGCGGGCTTTCATTCGCTCGCGAAAAAGCTTTGCTTTCGCATGGAAAGGTAAGATTCTTGTTCTTTATATCAACATTTAACGACTGTGCACTCAGTTTTTCATTGAATAACTATAGACGAGGCAACGTTGAAATTTATCTCAATCTAATAAATAAAACATTTTGTATTAGCTTTTGTTATTAAATCAAACATAAATTTTTTTTCTTTTTCGTTTTTGCAGTCGCATTCTCGTGAGTCGCCTCATGAATGCTCGCAATGTAATGAAATGTTCTTAGATCACATTAGCCTGCAGGAGCATCAAAAAACTCATAATTTCGAGGAGAGCAATTCTGAATATGACCCTAACGAAGGCGGAGAGGACGATGAAGATGAAGACTTAGAGGAAACGCAAACAGAAACAGAGTCCGAGCAACAACTATACGGCGACTTTTATTGCAGCAAATGTGGCATGTCATTTCATAGACTCGATCTGTTAAAGAGACATGCCAAATTACACAACAAAACACAAACAGAAGAAAGCGGAATTGGTGGCGATGAGGACATTAGATATCGCCATTGTTGCAATACTTGCGGCGAATCGTTTGCAGAGGCTTTGGACTTGTTAGCCCACGCTGAAATTCATGCCCGATATCCTCCATTTAAGTGAGATTGATTTTTTTAACGTTTTATTTTATGACCGACGTGTCTCATTTCAGATGCATTCTTTGCGGTGAATCATTTTTCGAAGAAACATCTATTAAACGTCATTTACAAACCCAACACGTCGGTGAAATGACCGAAAATTCTTGCATACTTTGTGGGAAGGTGTGCCGTGACCGTAAAGCTCTCATCAAGCATGCCTGGGATCATTCCCGTGAAAAATGTCACTCATGCTCGAAATGTGGCAAGAATTTCCATAATAAGGCCCGTCTCAAACGTCATATGTCCTCTCATCGTGATAAATCAGTTCAATGCGACGTTTGCCATGAAGATTTTCCAGACGGTCGCACGCTCTCGAACCATCGTCATTCGCATAGTGCTACATCTGCCGGAAAACTTTTTCCTTGCCTGGAATGCGGTAAAACGTTCGGTTCACGCAGCTCTCAGCAGATTCATGTACGTATACATACTGGTGAGAGGCCTTATGGTTGTCGTTTTTGTTGGAAAGCTTTTGCGGATGGCGGTACATTGCGTAAACATGAACGCATACATACCGGAGAGAAACCTTACGTTTGCTCGGTCTGCCCTCGTGCCTTTAATCAACGTGTTGTACTGCGCGAACATATACGTTCTCACCATTCAGGCTTAGATTCTACACGGGGAACTTACCATTGCACAGTTTGCTCGGCAGATTTGCAGTCATCAGCTGATTTAATCCAGCACCTTATACAACATAGCGACACAAACACGGCTTTGCAAAGACAACCAGTGGTAAGTTATACAATTTTTTTGGTTTTCCTTTCTCCTTAATCGTGTCTTTAAAACTAAAATTAGCCCGGGCCGCGCAAATATAAAAGGCGTCGTAAGTTAAAACCTCATGAAATAGCTCGTATGCGTCGGGAAGGCAACCAAATTGACCTTGGAAACACCAGCGATATCGATTTATCAGACTTTGACATGGACACGGTCGATGACTTACTGGGCATCACAGAAACTACAGCCTCCCCAAACAATGACAACAACGCTGCCACAACAATGATAATGAAAAAGAGTAACGCTAACAGATCTCAAGGTAGACGCACGAAGAGAAAATCGACCAAAGAAACTAACAATAATAAAAGCAAAGTGATTAAAAATGAAGTAGATTTAGATTTGGATGTAGAAATAGTTGATTGGGGATCGAAAAAATCAACGTTTAGTAGCGCTCACGGATCAGTGAAGACGCAAAACCATGTTGACGCGTTATTGAATAATCTTGAGAATACTTTAGATAACATAGACCATCTGGTAGTGGACAATAACACTCCTTCAACGCCATGTACGACAAAGCGTGCAAAATTAAAAACGAATACGGCTACGTCAAGAACTCAAGAGCTTCAATTAAATAAATCGACAATAAGAGAACCTGCGATGACATCTGGTAAAGGACGTAAAATGAGGTCTAGAAAATCAGCCCATAGACCGCAAATGATACGCACTGAGAAAAGGAAATCGCTCACTGTGGATGGAAATAAAAAGAAGACAATGTCCACCGTTACGCATCTTGCTCAATCCTCGACAAATCAGGATAATTTACGCAAAAAGTCAAGTATGGTTGATGATTATGAGATTATTACGCCACAATTGCAGCCACCAAATCAAATCAGTTCAAGTCCTTTACACATAAAACAAGAGCAATCTGATCTCCACGGTCAAAGAAATGATAGTCAACTGCATCATCACCAGCAGCATTCAAATGATTTGTATGACGCGCATTTGCTTTTAGAAGCTTCTGGACTGCGCAATGATTTAGACGAGATACTGCATTCGCCACTTAAATCTGAAAAGGGCTGCCATAGGCCGCGTTTTACTAGTGAATCGTCTTCGCAATTTATGGCCGAGCAATCAGAAGAAGAACAACATTTTATCAAAATAGAACCTACTTCGCCTGATTTGACAGAAATTGTGAATGGTGTTAGCTCGGGGACAGCTGGAGTAGAGTTAGATTCCAGTCCTGAATTGCAAAGGAAGGTTACCATGCAACAGCGTCGATCCACGCGAGGCTTAAAAACAGTAAAGCCTTTGAACAGCAGTCACCTACAATTAGAATTTACTTCGAATGTGGCGGAACATCCGACTACGCCGTCTAGAAGCACCAACAGTAGTAGCATTATTAGTAATCATTTGAATCGGGGTATTTGTAGTCCAACTACCAATACAAGCGATTTAACACCTAAAAGAATACGCACAGTTCTATCAAATTCCACGTCGACTTTAAACAGAACACCGACTTTTCTTGATTACGGTGTGGGAGATAGCTTTACTCAAACTGAATCTACAGCCACTTCAAATGCCAGTAATTCGTTTTCGTCGATATCGGCGGTAGTATCAGCGGCGGATGCCACTGCGGCAGCCGCTGCCCAGCAAAATCCTTCCTCTACACGAAAACCTCAACGTTATTTTGAATGTGAGATGTGTTCTGCCACCTTCTCCGATAGAGCTCAACTACTTGATCATGTACCGGTACATATTTAGTGCATCCAAGAAATTTCATAAGTGCCAAGACGAATGACAGCTCGGTTAATGACTTTTTACAGTTATCAATATGCATAAAACCAAAATGGTGTTCGTTTGTTTTAAAACCACAAATAACAATCTTCCCGTAGATTTTAATACGTTTTTTATACTAAACCCGATCCAGAAAGAAAGAAACAATTTCAAGAATTTCCAGAAATTCTCTTTTACCGACAATATACATGCTTTCTATGAAGACTCATTAGCTAAGATTTCTTTTTTGTTGTTTTTTATTTTTTTTTTTTTATTTTGTTTCGCTGTTTCACAAAATTATTTATAAATAGCTTAACAAATTATGAAATCACTTTTAATAGCGTTTATAATTATTATTATTATTATTAATTAGTTGTCCATTAGTTTTATCGCGTTTTTTTTTCTTTTAATTTAAAATCATTTTAAATTTCGCCTTCCCTTTAAACCATTTACAAAACATGATTTCATCAAGCTCTTCGTACTTTTTGTATGAAGATTGTGTAAACAATACTTAAGTAATATTAAAAATTTACTATTAGCATAATAAAAGGAAGATCGTTTCCGCTGCTTATTTTAAAATTGTTAACCAACATATTGTTTTTATATTTACACCCATTATCGAGCGTGGACTGCTTATTATTCCTGTTGGCGATCAACTTTACGCAAAGGTGTATTAGGCCTATTGGGATTCAGAAAATATCAAACATAAATATCAAAGAGCAACACGGAGAGTACTCGAATGTAATGTCCATTGACTGGCCAAAGCGTAAATATTGTTAAATATCAGGAGAGTAGAAATCGTTGCAGCAATTTTTATAGGGTCGCATTGACCTTTTAGATAAATTTAAGACTTACACCCTTAATTGGGGCCTTTTTCTTTGTAGCGGAATGTATTCGTTATTTTTGCTGTAGTTTTGCATAGTTTTCGTAAATGTTCTTGCCGAATTCCAAGCCTTATTTGCTATGAATTAGAAGGTGCTATAGGAATAGATCGCATTTATTTTGAGATACGACTTGTTGTTCTTCTGTCGATTGGACAATTTGGTAGATTTTCTATGTTAGAGCATGGTATTGGATGAAAGAGAAACGTAGAAAAAAACTAAAGTTTTGAGACCCTTGTCTGAAAGATTCTGAATGCTCCGATGGACCTTTCTTCGTGATTTAAAAAAATTTGGTTTATATAAGTTTGGTTAAAACAATTCCGCTATACGCAAGAACCGAAGATTCGACATAACTACTTGTATGCTGCACACATACGTGCTCGTCCTGACACTATCTATATTCTAAGATTTTAAATTAATCGAAATACTGCGCATCCTACATATTTTTTAGAACTACATTCAACATTCCTCAGCAAATAGGTGAACATTGAAAATGTACTAAAGGATCGAAGTTTTGATTATATTTGCTGAATATAAAAAAAAGATAAAATTATCGTCACAATGATTAGAAATAGTAGCATAAATGAAAATCAGTGAGAATCTATTGCATTTTTTCATTTTTTTTTTTTTTCCTAATGAATCCGCAATTATTTGCATACAAATTATATTTAGCTGCATTTGATTTTTAAACATCAAACAAAAACTTATTTATACTATTATTATCTCTTTGTTAGTATTCGAAAAGGTGTTGAAACGAAATGAGTTCACCACATATCAGGTTTTTCATAACTCAATTAATAAACGTATTTATCTGTAGTTTATTTATTTGGCGGCAAAGTGTAAATGTTAGTGAAAATTCTCAAAAGACTGATTAAAAATATTTTGTTAAATTCTTTTTTTCAGAACGGTCTTTGTATAAGGGCTTCGTGTTTAACTGAGGTAAGTCGACATTATCACTCACAAGACGTGATCGCCCAATATCCAATAACAGCTTCATTTTCAATGTTATTTCCGCGTAGAAGCGTTCACTGCAGGCATTGTTAAAAAAAAAGATACATTTCAAGAACCTTTTCAAATCTGTTGTTTGTCCATTGCTTCTCAAGCCCAATGAATTAGACTAGACTTTATGCTCGCGCGATTTTGTTTAAGAAATTCCATAGTCGAAGGCACGTCTTGCTTTTATTGCGTTCGGAAGACTCGTAAATAAATATTCTTTCATAGCCATCTTGGTCTGCATTTAATGAACGGCTACGTGTAGGTCTGCATATAAGACTGCGCGAAGAGCTGTGACTGTGAACGTGATTTGATCTGTAAAAACGAAGCGTTTGATGCCTTGTCGAATTACTATTTTTACAAGACAAGGCTGAAGGAATTACATATCTCCGACAATTAAAAAAAAAAAAGAACGGCCGTCAAAGGAATTCAGTAATGCTGTAACGACATTGCACGGTACTTTTGATGTTCGAATTGTCAAATGTAAATGGACTTGTTCCTTAGTTGATTACCTTTCATGACGAACTCTGTAAAATATCATAAAAACTCTAACTAAACAAGTATAAATTATTTTATCTTTTCTGCGATGACTCTATTGTTCTCAGTTGCGAGTAATGGAAATTGTAGTTGTGTGACATAAATTCTTTTGTTCTTCATTAGTTGAAATATTTCGTTAACATGTTCGCAATTTGTTTAACGCTTTCATTTTGAATATTTTGAATAATTTTTGAATTTACATTTGTTTTTTTTATTTATTTATTTATTTATTATTTTTTTTTTTTTGTAACAATTAGTTTGCTTACTCATAGTTACAAACTAAGTTTTTTATGTAAAGCGTTTTGTCAGTTTCGTGAAAATGTGGTCGTTTTTGAAGGAGCTGTCTGTATCAGACAGAACGTTCATCTGATATAAATAACTATTGCATGATTTTGTAGAAAGAACGAATCGTCTTGCTCAGCCTGAAAAGTTGGTTTCAATATTTCCACGCCAGCGCATCTTTTGCTGGATAGTCATTAACAAAAATACACCTGACAAATCTGTAATGACTAAAATACCAGAAATCTAAAAAGCGATTCTCATTTTCAAAAAAAAAAAAGGGAAGAAAAGGAAAAACTGAATTTCCCGAACAAATACCTCAAAAAATTGATGTGTAGTTGAAGAAAAGGCTTACAATTTTTTTGATATTACACAAACACTTTCCGATATTTACCCAAGAACCCTCTTCATACAGAGGGTCAGTTCTTTCCGAAATATGTAGAATGCGGGTATTTAAATATTCCGACTACTAAAAATTGACGTAAATATATGTATATCATTTATGTATATAATTAACATATTTTCCTGCAATTTTCCCCGATTCAATAATTTATTGGTTGGATTTGTAGTAAACGCCCAACTAACTTTTCTGGTCTTTTTTAAGTCTTCTTCAAATTTTTCAAATCCCATAAATGTGACAATATTTAGCAGACCTATAGGATGTCGCGAGTTCGAATTGAAGAATCGCTGATTTGTTTGTGCTCTGGTGTTGTACGTTATTTTTAATTGCCAACTGTTATTGATTGCTACTGATGATTAGTTTACCCTCTAATTAGGAGATTGACTAAGGCTATGACTAACATTATAAACACCTCACTGAACTCTAGATAAATACAGCCAAAGGAGAAATTATGTTGGACTTGGACCCATCGCCAGTAATTATATATTGTGTGCATTATTGTCTATCAATAAAAAAATTCATATGTTTCATGGGAAGCATGCGTATATAGCGATAAATTCGATCGCCCATTTCAAATTATATTTTCATAAAACTCAGCTCTTTATGTCATTTTTCAAGCCCTATTAAATATTATATGACATTTTATATTCGTTACGCATATGCTGTTTATAGATCAAGGCAAGTTATTGTTTTATTAAATAACTAATAAGAAAATTTGAGATGAACGCTTTATAGGTACGGTATAAACCTAAAGCTTTAGCAATCAACGGTTCCATATAGAGAATATTTATTTGGAATTGACTAGACCTTCATATTTTCTGTTATTAAGTAAAGGAAAAAGAAAAAACGAACTCTTTTTCTCTTCTTATCCCATGCTGCACCGTTGCTTAGATGTGGCTTTATTTTTTGACAATTTCATCTTAATGTTATCTTAAGAATCTTTCGTCTGGATGATGATGACATTCATCTTTCAAATTCTCCTTGCTTGGCTCTGTAGTGCTAACCGTTTCGAGTATGAAAATTTTCTGGAATTATTGAAGAGGCACCTGATCTAAGCACCAACTCGTCGCGTTAGCTTCAGATTTGTTTTATTTTTTGTAAGGAATAGCAAGATATGCTTACATACTTATGCAAATTTGCTTGTCTTGGAAAGAGAAGATTTTTTATCTCAAACCAGTAGGAAACGAAGTGTATATATGTGCATCCGTGGTCATAGGTAAATTTTTCAAAATATTCGTTTATGAATATCTTTTCAGAATATTAGTAATGTTGCACCTGTCACTTGGGCCTAGTCGGGCTTTTGACAATCGTTTAAAACGCCTTCTCCGCACCTCTGCAAGAAACTGAGTAGGACGCCAAAGAATTTGTAGGATTTGGTAGCTAGCCCCTCAAATGACAGTAGTCAAGCAAGCAATATTCCCATTCGTTCCGTTAGGTTTTTTTGGTTCATAAATCTTAGTCAAAGAAATCAAACTAAAAATTGTTTAACCCATTTGGACTTGTGCGTAAAAATTTTCAAGAATTTATAATCTAATCTCTATACGCGACTCATTTCATACCTTAAAGAGAAACTACAACGATAGAGCGTTGCGGATGTCTTACCTAAGCAATACAATAAACGAAATTGGTTGCCCATAAAAGTCAACTAATGTAGTGTATTAAAATTGGAGCTATCAACCATTGTCTGGACCGATTTAATCCAAAATTGAGAAAAGACAAGTATTTTTTATAAGCTACACTTACCAAAACTTCTTGCAAAAAAAGCACTAATTATCGAAATAAACTTAACATAGAGTGTCTTCCACTGAAACGTAATCGTGTTATTAAATTGAATATTTCGAATTAAAAAAAGTTCAAATTTTAAAATTTATTGGTAAAGTCTTTTACATGCACAGCATAAGATAACACTTGAGTAGGCACAGCTTTAAAAACATGCGATCGAATATAATTTTTTTTTTTTCCTTCTAAGCGTCATGTCTTTTTATCACTAGTTCTTCACCGGGGCATATAAAGGTCACTTGAACGGCATTGTTGATTAGCCAAGGCTGAGACCAAATCTCTATATCACATTCTTTTATTGCGTGCACACCATCACCTAGAACAACTTTCATCTTGTATAAAACTCCCGAAACTACCTGGGATGTGGCCGAGTTTATTTTAACGAGTCTTGAAACGGACGATAAAATAAAAGGAATAATTACACAAGATATCAATTATATATCAATTATTGAACAGCTTACTGATAAACAGGTCCATCACCGGCGGCCAATTTCGTTAGGGATTTTTGTAGCGTCTTCTCCGCAACACGTAAATCTTCGCCTTCCAATTGACGTGGGCAACCCACACAAGACTCACTTTTGCCTTTAACGATTTCTTGTTTTTCCTCACGTAAGTCATTGTCGTTCAATTGATTACCTTTGGCCAGAACCATTATTGAAATAAAGGCTAACGCGGTAAACAGTAATTTGAAATTAAACATTTTCTTGTTGTAAAGCATAATACTCGAGTGGACGTTTAACCACAAACTGAAGATCTAAAGACACAATTCATGAATTTTATAAATTTAAATTAAAAAAAGAAAAAATATTCACACTCTCTTCAGTTCTTGAGTGCAAATCAGTATTTGCTCTCAGCCAAGTCCTTAAGTTACTATATAAAAGCTTTAGGTTTTTGTTTAATCAACTGTGAAGAACCACAACGGCTTGAATTGTTACTACACAGAAAATTGTCTTGATTCAAGTACATCTTCCCGCCCAAATACTTGTGCTAATGTTGATCAGGGAACAATGAAATTGTTTGAGATTGCATTTATACGTCCAGGATTACTTTAGTATTGAAACAAAGGCGAGGTTGCCTGTAAAACCAAGCGGAAAAGTCAAATGTTAGCTTTATTTTGGTCTTTGCATTGTTAGCTCGGAAGTGACAAGTGCCAGCTAAGTCAACAAGACTAAGAACATGCATGCAGCCATTGTGAGACCCGTGATGTTACAAACGGAGTCATAAACCCAATGTAATCCATTTTTATGATGGAATGATGTAAAATAAACGAAAATATCTTTGTAATACACTTACTCAGAGTGCTTGTGCAAGAGACGTTCATACAAGTATATAAAAACAGTGTACCGAAGTTTAAGGGAATATTGGTAATTTATGGGCTCAATTAGTTGATTGAGCGAAAAATTTCTCCCGAATTTCGTAATGAGATTAGAAGATTCTCTTAAGTTTGATCACCACAGGGCTATCCTAACCTACATACTCTTTAATCAGATTAAGTTTGAAAGCTTGCAAGTCTGTTAGTTCGTTTGGTTTTTTGAAAAAGTTGCAAAATTCACGTGACATATCGAAATATCGAGATCGTTCGAACTTCAACAGATATACGCACGGAGTACAAGTCTTATAATAATTAAGAGTATTCATATTCTATGACTTCTCCAAGGCATTATTTTATAAATGAAGACTTCGCCGCATCCTTTAGTGGAACCTAGGGAATGTCAAAAGAGAAGAAACCCGAAAATTGAAAATCCGAAAAGAAATGATTCGAGCAATTGCGTTGCTCAGTCTTAAGGATATCAGGGTCGCTGTGTACCCGCAGTTGAGCTCTTATTTTGTCTTAGGAAAGAGGGCGTCTGCTTAGAATTTTTCAAAATTGTGTACCTAGTCCGACATATGCGTTATTTTAGAAAATGTGAAGCGAAATGACGAAAACTTCTCTTGGCAGCGAAATACTTTCTTAAGTTGAGTTTCTCTAGTTATAGTAAGTTATCGTAAGTAGAACTAGATATGAGAGAGTGCACATTGTCCACGAGAGTTTGCGTGTTGTAAACTGATTTGAGATTTTCTTCCAACCATTGGTTCGTTTATTTCCACCTCTGTATCGGAATGTCGCGATTACGAAACTTTGTAGAAAATTTCTTTGGCTGAAAAGGTTCAATCCACCTATTAGTAAATTATGCTTCGAGCTGAAAAATTTTTATTCAGCAATGGGCAATATAATAAGAATACACAATATAATAATCAAATAATAATGGTGACATGAATTCCGAATTCAAATATTTCCCAATAAGTCCATTGAAGCGTCAATATCATTTTTACATAAACAACGTAGATGCTAGAGATCCATAATTACGCAAGTTTATGCACTTCGTTGCACATATGCATATGCAATACCGCAGGAGAACTGGAGAACAACAAAAGAAAAATGATCGCTTTTCTCTCAGCTATAGATATTTCTGCGTGGTTTTGTTTTTAATGTCTACGGTCTTGTACGGCGGTCAACTATATTTTCAATTATGAGAATCATGTTAAACGTTTCTCCAATTTTCCCGAGCTAGTAAGAATATGTTGATCTCGTTTGAACCAATTATTCAGATTGTGTGATAGGATTTACTGGGGCTAAACTTTCATATTTATGTTTACTACCGATTCATAGAAGGTATAAAAGTATTTCAATAATAAAATAACACTTATGAGCGAATTCAGGCGTTATCACCCAGCGCCGTAAGAGCTTGTGATTGTGCGTTCTCTTCTCATAGCTTTTGTGACTTTGTATCCAATGTGGTATGCCCGAGCAAGAGTCACAATAAAAACTCTCTTCAATATTAAATTTCTCATAAAACAAGGAAAACTACAGAACGCAATTGTTGTGACTACCTTGTAACTAGCCAGTCGTTGTGATATTGCTCCGAGTATGGCTATTAGGTGCATTTACCGAGGTAAAATTGATGAGAACGGAATATAGTAAAAGATAAAGTTTTGTATCAATACGGATGTTAAGACATTATTTCTCTTTCCTTTCTCATTTACAGTTGACGGAGGATGAGAGCAATGCTACTCTACAATACGTACTGGACAAGTATGATCAAGTTAAACTAAAAATTATGGGTCAACCCGTATCGTATGTTTTGGATTTCTGCGTTTAATTCTCTTCAGCTCTTTGAAAGAAATAATTTTTTTTTGTTCGATTTTCTCATTATTTTAGTATTTACGGTATGCGTTTGACATACGACGATGAAGAGGAATTAAATATACATTTCAAATATGTCGATAATACACAGCAAGATGTAATACAGAATTGTGTTTTTGTTATTTACCATCGCAGCAATGAATGCGAGTTGATACAAACAATCTGTAATACATTTTTGCCTATAACGCCACGACCGCTATTGAAGCTTAATGATTTGCGAGTGTGCAATGACAACGACGTGCAACTGGTAGAAATGAAGGAATTCGTAAAGGAATTGCAAACAGAAGCAACACCGTCAACAGCATCAACGTCAGTGACAGAAGTAGAACAAGAACACGTTGATGAAACAACTGTAACGAAAGCATGAATGATGGACAGCAGTTTAATAGAGGGTTAGAGAAGCGGAAATGCTGATGGCTCTCAGATTCGAAAGCGTATGCTGCTGGCAATAAGTTTTCTGTGTCAATACTTTCCTTGTTTAAATAAATATTTACAAACTTTTAGAAATAGCTAAGTTACTTATATTTTTCAATTCGGAAATCTATGTCATTCTTTACTTTTTTTTCGGACACTTTCTATGAATGAATGAGGAAATATTCTTCTTACTTACAATTGACGTAATGTTTTCCAGTCTCTAAAATCGGATAAACAACATTTCAAGTGCGCTGTGAAACCGCAGACATTTAAACCGCATTGAAATAAATGTGTGTGTGACATACACAGATCTAATTAAATTTCGGTGAGGATAGTCAAGGAAGAGAGCAGAACGGAGAGTAAGTTTAGTTGTATACAAAGCACATAGTCTGTGTTATCTCTAATCCGGTTCGGCGGGCAAGAATGTAGCACTTTTATCTATTAACAGGAAGCTGCAAAAAAATATTAACAAAGCTTGGGACGAAACGAAGTACGAATTGCATTGAACACAAAACGAATCATAAAAAACTATCCTCTTGTGCATGTTTGTGATTAAAACACGTTGAAGATCTCGACCTTTCATTTAGGATAGGCCAAATGCCAACAAAAAGACGTATTTTGTATTTCAATTTCCCAATTGCCGAACTTGAAACTCGGCAAATAAACGTACAACAAATGGTAAAAGCATTTCATAGCCCTCGTTGATCGATTCCAGCTCTTGCAGCTTTGGGCATTTTAAAATGTAAAATCTGGACCTTATTTGCTATAATTATTATGATAGGAAAAGTCTTCAAAATATTGTATATTGAGTGGATATCGACAATTTCTTTTGTTTATACGAAATTTATTTATATTTTCTTTGCATTTGTTTTTGGCTTCATTGTAGCTAAAAATAATTAGGTGAATAATTCAAACAAAAGTTGAATAGAATGCGAAGATTAAAGAAAATCCCCATTTAATTCGCAATAACAGAACTGATTGTATTTTTAAGGGTTATTGGGAGAGCTAGCAGACGGGAGAGAAACGCCAGCAATTTTGTTCTCTAAACAATTTGGAGCATTAAATTGTTATGACGGAAAGAAGAAGCAACGCAAACCGGTAAAGATAAAAATGAGCGCGCAAAACGGGAGAGAGAGCATAAGCGCATACTCACAAAATAAACGAAAAAAGAGAAAAACAGCTGAGCCAGTTTGCAAAAGCAAAACTATTATTTAATATTTGTCGTTTCGTTTTAGTTTTTTAGTTGTAAAATTATGACAGTGAAAAACGGGGGTTCGTAGAACAGCGGGAAATTGTTAAAAATTTTGCGGCGCCTGAACTAATTTGTGAAAAAAATGCAATTGCAATGCAATTAAAAGTAAGTGTGAAAGTGATGAGCGAAGCAAAACAAGCAAGAAGCTTGAGAACTTTTGCTAAAAAAAATTAAAAACAAAAAATATAAAACAAACTGTAATTAAGAATGGTTATGAACAATTTTTGTATGCTCTTTCTTGTTGAATGATTTCGTATTACAATCGCTTAATCAATCGCTCTTGAATACACTGCACTGCATAACAAACTCAATACATTCATTCTTTTATCCTTAACAAGGTTATAAATATTTCGATGGCTGCATTTTGTTACCATAACGAACGATAGCTAACAGAGAGCGGAGAGCAATTGAGCGAGCGAAATTAGGAAAGTGTTTTAGTTTCCTTCGTCTAGTCATCCAAATGACAACGAGTTTCACGGAGTTTAAAACTCTGCACTACGTTAATATTCAGTATTCAGAATTTGGCTAATGCCGAGATCCCATCGGTCACAATAATTAAGCAACAGTAAATTATGAAAGATTATAGAAAGATAAAGGCGCAAGAAAAAATTGAAAAAGCCAAGAAATAAGAAAATAGCGAGCGGAAAACGTGTATTTTGTAGTAGTGTTTAATGTTATCGGCTATACAGTGCGAAATCGCAACATGTAAGCTAAAAGTGCGATTGCTTCTTTAGTTGGGAGAGGCACGTAAACAGTGTATAAATATATATATATGCATATATATAAATATATATATATAAACATATACGTACGTGAGAGAAGCATGATAATTAAAATTGTAAACAAAACAATGTGTTTTGCAAAACTATACAAAATAAAATAAAAGGGAGTAACGGAACTCTCAATATATGTATAAATTTAGATATACTCGTATATACATGCACACTCTTAGTAGGAAATTCGAAAGGTATCTCCAAGGCTCACTGTATCAGTTGGTTTGTACGATCGTTCGTAAACAAATAAATATAAACATGAATGTCGACCTTACCCGAAGGGTTCTATCAATAATAATAATACAAGACAAAATGAAACTGATTTCCTTGGGAATAGATCAAAAAAATGCGGACATAGGTAAATTCCCTACGATTGAACCTCGAAACTGTTGCTTTTCCCGACAGTGAAGCTAAATTTATTTGTTTAAGGGTATAAATTACGTGCACATAACCTGTGCAGAAGAGGGAAACGTCAAGGCGTTTCTGACGATTGGAAAAAGTTGGCAGTGCGCAGAATCTGTTTTTGTACCGCCCACTAAAAGAAAGACAGAATAATCATGTAGGTGAACATATAATTTTTAGATAAGAAATCGTTCAGATCGACCCTTCTCTTCCCAAAGAATATAGCATAAACAATTACTTTCCTATTTCTACATTTTCAGAAAGAACTACTTTCGTTTTTAAACATGTATCCGATATAAGCCGAAGGTAGCCCGTTCGAAACGCTTGACCGAAAACTGACGTCGTCTCAGCTGCTCGTATCGCTCGTATTTTATCTATGAGCGGGTAGAAAGCTAAGATTTTTTATATACGTATTTATTTCGGTCTTAGGAATAATTCAGATTATATATACGATAAAATAATTAGAAAATGTATTTTAATCGGTCAGAAGTTCGTCTATTCCAGCGCTATGTTAATCTGGTTACTTTATATGTGGTGGGTGCTTGAGATTCGCTTTAAGCCGGTTATCTTTTATTACATGCTTTCTTTCATAACATTTGTTAACACAATTGTCAGCATGTGCGTACGAACATGCTCCTACATGTACCATCTGTGCATCGTGTTTAGTGTCTTATTATTCTCGTTATCATTCAATAAAAAAAAGTAGTTTTTTTCGCGTTCTATTAGCGTTTTTTTTTTTGCATATATATAGCGCATGCTTTTTTTTTAGTTTTTACCTATTTCCTGATATTATTTTGGTTGAATTATTCTTTTCTTCTGTTAGTACAATGTTTTATTGCAAGTAATAATGCAAATACCATATCAAACATGGCGTTAGTTACGTATAAAATTATGTAGCATCGGATGCTGCGTACACTATGTGCATGTACATTCATGTATTTTCCAATATCCTTTTCCTACTTATCTAAAAGAACACATTTTAATAGACTTTCGTTGAATGCAATATTCTTGGTTTCTTTAAGTCAAAGAAGGATACATCGCCCAGTAATCGTACAGAGAATCGTACAAAGAAACTTTGAAACACTTAAGCATTTTCTAATATTAACATTGTAAATTTCGAATTAAAATGCTAATGGAAATAATGCCACTTAAAAATTCGTTTAAATGTTTCGCCTTTGAAAGCATATTCCAAAAATTAAAAAAAGGGAATACTTTTGGTAATATTGGTCTGCAATTTTCAGAGATATATACTTAATATAGCAGTAGAGTAAAAGTGGTCGACTTTATTGCTCTGTATAAAGACCGAGTCTGATGTTTAATCTGGTACACTCAAAATGGTGCTTTGCTTAGAGGGATAGTAATAACTCAACCGATGTTATTATTAGTCATAGACAATTTTAATTGAAAAAAAGGAATTGATAAGAAATCCTGAATGATCGACGTTCCAAAGAATTTTTCGCTAACTGTGAACTTGTTAGCGCCACGGGTCACTTTCCCAGCATATTTTTAGGCCGCGTTACAAGTGTCTGGTTATTATCTGATTTAAGTCACAATTGATTTAAGTAGCAATGTATTCAAAATCTCGATTCTATTTCTTGCCTTCAAATAGTATAGAGTTTTACGAATTCTTTTAAACTCGTTCAGCTTTGTGGACTTCAAATTATAAAGTACAAATCAATTGTCGGCATTTCAAGCAGGACGGCTAGACTGATGTACACATGATCTTACAGTCGTCTCAACCATGGCTGCTATAGAAGGAATGGCGGTGATAGTCAGCCGCCGCCGCTCTATCCTAATATAAAAATGCAAAGTAAGCTCTATTTTATTATCTTATTATTAATGAGAAGTCTTCATTGGCCTGCCGCCTTTTCAAAATGCGCAATTGCTTAGATAGTAAGCCCCTTATGACATTTAAGCAGAAAAAGACTTTTAGACATGAGTAAACATTGATCTCTTCATTTGATTGCATTTACTCTAGTGTTGTCATGTGATGGCTTTTTTAGAGCCTAAATTCCTTAGTACAGTTTCTTTCGACTTTTTTAAGATTAGTTTACCTTTTAACGGTTTCTTAAAAATAGCAGTGAAATGTATTCATTCCGAGTAATTGAATAATTTATGAAATTAAATCTCAGTAACATTACCCGCTAGATATAAGTTTGAATCCATTTCCCAAAATCATTTTTCCTTGATTATAAATGACAAACAATCACCGGTCGCTTTGCAATCAATTTCTTAGTGACCCCTGCAATAAAGCAATGGTTTTTTGATGTTTTAGGAATTGTGCAGTAAACCCATGGAGGGCCCTCTGGATATCGATTTATTACTCTATTCTTTGAAGCTTTTTAAGCAATTTGAAATTTCATATCTTTCGATAAATGATTTAAAAAAAGACAATATGATTTTCTATATACTATTAAGAGTTCTTTAAGTGCAACTAAAAGTTGCATAGCTATCATTATCAAATAGAATTGAAGCAAGTTTCTGAATGTTTGAGATTCATTGAAATATCTGAGGCGAGGAGTCGCGTTCCCTTTGAAGCAAATCGATACCGATTCTAAGAAAATATTCTTTGTTTTCAATTTTTCATTTACGATCGTCAGTACCAATCACTGCAGGAGATATACAATAGATATGTTTCAGATTTCGCTTCCCCATAGTCATTTATGCCACTTTAAAAGTACCAACTTGCAATCGCATAACGATCCGTGAATCTGAAAAAAAGAAGATAGCGTGTCGTTGTTTTTTGGCCTATGGAATAAATTCCAATGAATAACTTTACTTTTTGTACAATTTCAGCCACATAACCATTTTATAGCTCAATAACATACATGAATATGCTTCGAGAGCCTCATAAAATACACATACATAAATTACCTTAGTAATGCGTGCATAAAAAGTGGTCAAATAGGGTAGCATTTTATATTATTGGCAATGGGTGTGAGGTTAAATAAGAATTTAGTTACCAAAGGCATTTACTATGAGCTTTATAAAGGTCCTAAAATAGATCCGTTAAATACCTGTGCAATTTAAAGAGTTCTATATGCAGGTGCGTCACGTTGTGTTGGATCCTTCAAAGGCGGTGCACATATACTTGAAAGTCGTTATGTTGATGGCAGTCGACTACGGCAAAGTAATGGTCATTCGTAGTCGAACTGGACGTTTTCACTTAATTTAGTGTTTATCGAAGGTACGATATCAGTACTACACCTCTCGAATGAACAGAAACAACAAAAAAAAAAAAAAAAAAAATTCTTCTTCTAGTTTAGCGTTTTATTGTTCTCTTTAATCCCTTGTTTAGATTATATTACTTAGTCTGCTTATTTAATATTTATAAAGTGCTGTCAGACAGCATTGCTATTAAAAGTAAATACAAATCTTTTTTTGTACTCTTTTTCTTTATACGGTGGTTGATTGGTGGAGGGGAAAGGGGGGGGGGGGGGGGGAGGGGTTTTTTTTTTGTACTTTTTAAAAACCTGATATGTTTTAAATAAATTTTGTTGCAAAAACCGAAAGGGTTTATCATAAAAAGGTTACTCTTTGCTTAGGAATGATTGTTCCAAGCAAAAGTTTCTTACGCAATACATTTATAAGCACACGTATTTAAGAAAATCGTCATGTCCGTCTATGCCCCTTTGAGTCACATTTCACAATGATGCTGGTTATTGTTGTAAGCGATGAGGTTGACCTTTTCTACTATTTTTCTTTTCTTGTTTTTTTGTACTTGAATTAGAAGCACATTAAACTTATTCAGAATGTTATAAGTTGTTGTTCTTGTTGTTGTCGTTGTTAATTTAACTCATTTTTCTATTGTGATATTCTAAATAACGCATCCAAGTTTTACGTCAGCAAATATTGTTCATAAATGCAATGCAGTTTAGAATTTCAGAGCATTTTCTGTTCATTTTTCCTTTTAAATATTATGAAAATAAACATAATGAACTTTATAGAAATTTTCGTTTTTGTGAACTTTTTGCATTTTCCATAATGTTGAATGCTCATAATATTATGCTATTTGAAACTTTATACTTTTGTTATAGCAAAACGAAAAACTTTATTGCAGTTATCTGCGTAATATTATTATTTTTCACCATATTTTAATGTATAGAGTCTTTTGCTTGCATATAACAAAGTTAAGTGTAGCTTTCGTAAGCCCGAAGGGGTGTAAAAAGTAAATATTACTTAAAGGAGCCATAGAAACAAAGAAGAAGAAAATATATATATACTTTGATGAAAGTCTTTATTGTCGGGCTTGTCGAGTAGAGTAGTAAAGTAAGTAGGTCGACGAGTTCTTTTTCTTTGAACTGAGGCCATGTCAGCATATCTTACTTACTTACATGTATTATGAAAAAATAAAATTGAACATATTTTTGATTGACCTTTTATCTCAAGCTACGCATTCAAGCTTAGAAAGAAAGATGTTCGAGGCGTTGCGGGAAATATGTTAATCATCATTAAAAATAATTTTCTGTCAGATTCAGACAGGCAGCCCTGCAATCGACCATTAACCGCTAAGCAAACGATCTCTTATTGAAGAGCTTGCGCCCGTACCTTTCCGTGTTATAATTAAACTAACATAAAAAGTTCTATAAAATAAACAAACCATCAGTAAACATTTGAAATTGTGCCAAAAAAACAAAAAGAAAACCAAAAAAAAAAAAAAAAAAAAAAAAACTGTCACACTAATGTAAACACTTCGGACTATAAACATATACAAAAAATACATAAAAAAATCTCTGCCTCCGATAATGCAGGTCGAGTAAATAATAAAAGAAACTCGTGTGTTTTCTTATTTGTGAGTAAAAACAAACAAAAAATAATTTCAGCTTTTTTAACGCTACTAGACATTCTGCCGTTGAAAAACATTGATTTTTATATCAACAAGAATAGTACATATGAGCAGGTAAGTTTTCCCCACTTGGGTTAAAGTGACTGTAATGTGATAGTAAAAACAAATTTTCTTCGAAAGAAAGATAAGACAAAGACAAAAATAAAGGAATCAAATATGGATTAACTAGAAACTTTTTATACCTACTTGTGCAGAGAATTATTGGGAAAAAGACTGCGAACGTGACGGCGAACGTAAGAGTAAGCATTTTGTTACATAACATTATGAGAGCGTTACTCACAAGCCAATATGTCTCAATACATCACTGTCGCTAGTGCCTATGCATGCCATATCAAAGACAAACACACACATACGCATACCTACGTACATGCATACATGCAAGCAGACTTCCGCTGCTTATGCTTGACATTACATACTGAACAAAACGCATCTACACAAATCAGCAGAATAATGTGATGCAAGCTTTTTTTTGTTCACTAACAATTCCACGACATTGCACTTTGATTCCCTTTTGATTTTCGCAATAATGTGCGAATATTGATTTAATTTGGTTAATTAATTTCAACTTTTTTAACTTAATCCGATGAAAATGAAAGAAATGCATTTAAGGGTAAAATTGTGAT